TGCGCGAGATCATTGACGCCTGCGAGCGCATCTACTGCGGGTCCTATGGAATCGAGTTCATCCACATTCCTGACCGTGAGAAGTGCGACTGGCTGCGCGAGCGCCTCGAGGTGCCCCAGCCCTTCAAGTACAGCATTGACGAGAAGCGCCGCATCCTCGACCGTCTTATCTGGAGTTCGAGCTTCGAGTCCTTCCTGTCCACAAAGTACCCCAACGACAAGCGTTTCGGCCTGGAGGGTTGCGAGACCCTGGTCCCCGGTATGAAGGCTCTGATCGATCGCAGTGTCGACTACGGCGTCAAGGACATTGTCATTGGCATGCCGCATCGTGGCCGTCTCAACGTTCTCAGCAACGTCGTCAGGAAACCCAACGAGTCCATCTTCTCCGAGTTCGCTGGCACTGCCGGTGCCGAGGATGAGGGATCTGGCGATGTCAAGTACCATCTTGGCATGAACTTCGAGCGTCCCACCCCCTCGGGCAAGCGTGTCCAGCTGTCCCTTGTGGCCAACCCTTCCCATCTCGAGGCCGAGGACCCCGTCGTTCTCGGTAAGACGCGCGCCATCCAGCACTACAACAACGATGAGAAGGCCCACCGCACTGCCATGGGCGTCCTGCTCCACGGTGACGCCGCTTTCGCCGCTCAGGGTGTCGTCTACGAGTGCCTCGGCTTCCACTCGCTCCCTGCCTTCTCCACTGGTGGTACCATCCACCTCGTCGTGAACAACCAGATCGGCTTCACGACCGACCCCCGCTTCGCTCGCTCGACCGCCTACTGTACCGATATCGCCAAGGCTATCGACGCCCCCGTCTTCCACGTCAATGCCGACGACGTCGAGGCCGTCAACTTCGTCTGCCAGATGGCTGCCGACTGGCGTGCCGAGTTCCAGCAGGATGTCATCGTCGACCTGGTGTGCTACCGCAAGCACGGCCACAACGAGACTGACCAGCCTTCCTTCACGCAGCCCCTGATGTACAAGCGCATCCAGTCGCACAAGTCTCAGATTGCCATCTATGTCGACAAGCTTATCAAGGACGGCACCTTCACCAAGGAAGACGTCGAAGAGCACAAGCAGTGGGTCTGGGGTATGCTCGAGGAGAGCTTCACCAAGTCCAAGGAATACCAGCCCACCTCCAAGGAGTGGACGACTTCGGCCTGGAACGGCTTCAAGTCGCCCAAGGAGCTGGCCACCGAGGTTCTGCCGCACAACACGACCAGCGTCGACAAGAAGACACTCGAGCACATCGGTGAGGTCATTGGCAGCACAAGTGAGGGCTTCAACGTGCACAGGAACCTCAAGCGTATCCTCTCCAACAGGACCAAGTCTGTGGTTGGGGGCGAGAACATTGACTTCCCCACGGCCGAGGCTCTCGCTTTCGGTTCCCTCGTCACCGAGGGCCACCACGTCCGCGTGTCCGGTCAGGACGTCGAGCGTGGCACCTTCTCGCAGCGCCACGCCGTCTTCCACGACCAGGAGACCGAGGACACCTACACACCGCTGCAGAACATCAGCAAGGACCAGGGCAAGTTCGTCATTGCTAACTCGTCTCTGAGCGAGTTTGGTGCCCTTGGCTTCGAATACGGTTACTCTCTCTCGTCTCCCAACGCGCTCGTCATGTGGGAGGCCCAGTTCGGTGACTTCGCCAACAACGCGCAGTGTATCATTGACCAGTTCATTGCTTCCGGTGAGGTCAAGTGGATGCAGAGGACAGGTCTCGTCATGTCGCTGCCCCACGGTTACGACGGCCAGGGTCCCGAGCACTCCTCCGGACGCTTGGAGCGTTACCTGCAGCTCTGCAATGAAGACCCTCGTGTCTTCCCCTCGCCCGAGAAGCTCGAGCGCCAGCACCAGGACTGCAACATGCAGATCGCTTACTTCACGACCCCTGCCAACTTGTTCCACGCCCTTCGTCGCCAGATGCACAGGCAATTCCGCAAGCGTAAGTCCCTTGCGTCCACCTTCTTTGCCCCCCCCCCCCCTCTCCTCAATATCTCGCTTGGGCTGACCTGTGTTGCCTTAGCCCTCATCATCTTCTTCTCCAAGTCGCTCCTCCGCCACCCTCTGGCGCGGTCCAACATCGAGGAGTTTGTTGACGAGTCCCACTTCCAGTGGATTATCCCCGACCCCGAGCACGAGGCCGGCACCATCAAGAAGCCTGAGGAAATCAAGCGTGTTGTGCTCTGCACGGGTCAGGTGTGGGCCGCGCTCCACAAGTACCGCGCGGACAACAAGATTGACGACACGGCGTTCACGCGTATTGAGCAGCTCAACCCCTTCCCATGGCAGCAGCTCAAGGAGAACCTCGACCAGTACCCCAACGCAGAGACGATTGTCTGGGCTCAGGAGGAGCCGCTCAACGCTGGTGCGTGGAGCTTCACGCAGCCTCGCATCGAGACGCTCCTCAACCAGACAGAGCACCACAACCGCAAGCACGTCATGTACGCTGGCCGCAACCCCAGCGCGTCCGTGGCAGCGGGTACCAAGGGCCTGCACACCAAGGAAGAGCAGGAATTCCTGGAGATGGCCTTCACGGTCAAGCAGGACAAGCTGAAGGGCGAGTAAAGTAGAACAAAAAAAGGGGTTGTCAGGTTGTAAACGTATGTTGCTTGGTATGGTGGAAGGGATCCCTCGAAGGGGGACTATAGGCGATGGCAGTGCCAACTGTATCTTTTAATGTTACTTGAATTGAGCGCCTGTACGGAGAGCGATAGAGAGAAGTCTCATCGACGTTCTGGCATGTAATAAATGTGACACTAGGGCCGTAGCGCCTTGCCAACTCCAACTGACCAGTCTGCTCGAACTCGTCGGTGCTGTACACCGTTGTAGCGCGTGGTGAGAGACCTGTGGTGCACGGACGCTTAACGCTAAAGTGGTTTGGAGCTGGCGCGTAGCACTAAAATACGCGTCTCACCTGTCGCGTCGTCACCACAACTTAAGTAACAGGGTGTCTATCTGCCAAACAGATATGCAAAGGAATTCACGTCAGGCAGCCGCTGATTAGCCCAGTTTGGTCGGGGTCTACATGGTACTGATTGTGTACCCCACTTTGACATCGAATACGTTCGGCAGGCCTAGACATTCGACCTGCAATTCACATTCCCAGGTTCCGCGTTACCTCACCACCCAAGTCGACGTCCACTGGCCCTCGATGCACTGCAATACATCGCAAGTTCGCTCGACATGAGCACATATATCAATGGCCACATGGAGGGAACTAGGGGAGGTCCCAGATTCGGACGATGACGGAGACTTCGACAACTATGGGCAGGCACACGATTCGACACTCACCTGTTCCTTTAACTTGGACCAACACAATGGAGCCGCTCCTTCGACATCGCAGGCGGTCCCGACCCACGGATTGCTGTCCCAAGCTAAGAACACAAGCCAGAGCATGTGTGATATTCCCGCATCCTCACCGATCGGAGATGCTCCAATGGTGGCGCCCTTGCCCGAGCGGCCATCTACTCCCCAGCCTCGAGTGCACATGGCCATGCCGCCGGCGTCGTCTCCCCTCTCCTCAGCCCCGGACGATGATGAGCTTGCCGATATGTTCTCAGAAGGACCATACCGAGCTGCCGCTTCCGCAATCTCGAAGCCGTCGCGTGTCGTTGTGTCCGCACGCGGCGATTCACCAGACCCCCTCGGCTTCGAGACTGACGATGTATCAGCGGGACTTGTTGAGCTGACTGAGCCTCTACCCGAATTCCTCTTCGATCGAGATCATGCAACGCCGGTCCTCCCACCTGTTTCTACGCAACATCTCCGTCGTCAACATTCGGCTCCCCCGAGTCCCGAAACCGCCTCGGCCATAGCCGCTGCTGTCACGGCCGCACAGCGCTATGAGCGCTCATTACGTCCGAGAAAACCTATACAAGAGCATCCGTACATGATCGAGAGCGCACAGTACAACAAAGCTCTGAAGGCCCGCGGCATCAAACCCGTTCGCATGCTGGAGGAGGCGCATGCTCGAGGCAGGAACAAGACACCAGAAGAGGATTCGCAAGAGCAAGAGTTTCAAGAAGAAAGTCAGAATACCGTCAGTGAACACCAGGAGCGGTTGTGTGAGGAGAGTCAGTCGCTGCTGCATGAATCATTGGACTACTCGGCTCCTTTACCGACGTTCCCCTCGCCTTCCACTGCCAAGACGTCGTCTCAACCACCACGGAATACCTCAAGCAGTCCTCGCAGCGTTTCACGCGAGACGAATGTCACGAGCCCGTTCATCGACTGCGAACATCACGAGAGCGACCAGGAGAGCGATGAGTTGCCGTCTTTGAAACAGCTGTTGACTGCCCAGACGCCATCCTTTCCCGTGAAGAGACATCCATCATCCCTCCTGACCTCGTCACGGAAGTCGACGAAGAAATCTGCTTCGCACATCAGCCTCGAGCCGACCTCTACCAACTTACATTCGGTGCACGCTCCGCACATCAAGTTTCGTCAGCCTCGGCCGCTACCACCCGCTGCCCTCAAGGCAAAAAATGTTCCAAAGCATAGCAGAGGATCCCGAAGTCGGCCTCCCGGAGTCGATACATCGGGAGCAGATAAACACCATCCCGACCCCGGCCTATAAGCCCTGAACAACATCCTCTTGAGCGCCCTCTTGAAAGCCCTAGTGTGAATCTTTCAGCGGCTTCTCATGCGGATGATGCCTCAGATTCCGAGGTTAGCGAGGAATCCAACAGCACTCCAAAGCATGGCAAAGAACTCGTGGCGTTTGGACGCAGAGCTCGAGGAGTCCTTCCAGCGTCTCATTTCAGGCTAGACCGACCGAGGCAGCAGCCAAAGCCTCATCGAGCTGCTCATGCTCGGGCGATGCCGCCTGACCCGACTCAACGACGCGGCATCGCCATGCCGAGAACGAAGACAACATCGAATCAGTCGCCGTCCACACCGATTTTCCCTTTTGACCTATTCGACGACGACGAGTCTGAGGCGGAATCTTTGCAAACTCCCAAACCGAGGACCGAGAAGCGTTACTCGCAACAGATCCTGCACATCGTAGATGATGATGATGATGATGATGACATGTCTGTGGTTGAGGATAACGAGATTGATCATATGGTACAACGACCCAAACGCCAGCTGACCCAATCTATCTCGGGTGCAAGTTCTGCGAAAAGACGAAAATTGGACCAGTCTGGTGCCAGACAGCGTCAGCAACCGACCATCACGAGCCACTTTGGTTCAGGCAACGGTACTTCCGCAAAAAGGCAGAAACCACCACGACGAAGTCAGAATAAAGACAAGTCATCAAGGAGAGCTTCGAAGAAGAAGTCTCAAAGGACGTACAATCCACCTCGACTGGGCATTCTAGACGTTATTGAGCCAGAGGCACCACGATTCTTAAGGCTTGCCGCCCGCACTGTGAAGAGCAAAGCCCAGCGAGGAAGATCCAGCCCAAGTAGGAAAACAATATGCCTGGGTACCAGGGAGGATCAGCTCGATGCTGGTAGGGTCCTGCAAGATTGGATCGGTGGCGAAATTCATCCTCGGCACTCGGTCACAAGCCCCTCGACCGCCATTCAAGGTTCCGACCGGCAACCGTTGGCTCATATCTCACATAATGGCGCTGCTTTGGGTTCATCTGAGTCGCACGATACTCCGACAGACTCCTCAAGCAGAATCATACAGCCAAAACGCAATGCTACCGCAAAGAACCCGTCACGCATGTTGCCGAGAAGCAGAGCTGCCAGTGTCCGGCCTGCCCAATTCGAGGCGGATGTGATGAATGAGGCTGGCACAGTAAACTTTCAAACAAAAAAGAGGGTGCTGGATGCCATCTATCGTCGCGGAGCACGTCCTCGGTCCGTGTCCCAGAGTACCATATCTCTCATGACCAGAGACAATGATGGACCTTTGGTCATAGAAGAAACCGAATCCGCAGTGCGCAAGGATGCTTCGCTGAACGTGGCAAAGTCGTCGCGGAGGAGGTTGAAGAAGACCGAGAAGCCTACTCGAGTGGACACACGGGCGCCCCAGTACCGACATGCGCATGATCCTCTTCCTAGCGGACCCCGAACAGACGGACACATCAGTGCTGCAGATCTAGGCGTCGACCAATTGCTTGGCCTGGCGCCTTTTGGCGCCCATTATAGTGAGCATTTTGAGATTTTCCCACTGCAAAGGGGGGTCTTCTTTCATGAAGAGACGCTTCTTGGTAGTGGATGCTTCCAAGCTTCACTCGCCCCCGGCTTGCTGGAGAAGATCAAGCAGCCGCGGCCCCGAATCCACTTCAATCTCAGCGGTCAACCTCTGAAATGGGGCCTATGGGATGAACAAGTCTCGTCTGAATTGGGAATTCTTATTGATGCAATCTGTAATCATCTCACTGAGACAGGTTCTGATGTCGATTCGGGCTTCGACACCAAGGATGCTGCAAGGTTCATGCGCACATACGTGCAAGATAGCCTCAGTGTTACTGATGATACAAAGTTAGGAATGTTCTTGTCTCGACTGCTGCTTGTTTTCGAAGGCTTTTTCAGCCGCTTCAAAGTTCAAGCAATATTCTTGGACCAAAGGAAGACAACAAAGACACTAGAGGTGCTGTCAGAATTCCTCATCATCGTGCTCTGTAGCCATTCGATCTGCAGAGATCGAGCTTCCATGATTCCGCAGATTATGGGGCTCGAGAACATTCTACGTGAAGTCGTAGCCGCTTCTGTGGCCTGTCTTCTACACATAGGGACGGCGTCACTGGTCACTGCTTATGGCAGCCTCCAGCAACTAACAAACCGGGAACGTGGTATTCGAGCCGACAACATTGTAGCACAGACCTGGGTCATGCTAATGAGAGCACTCGGGCAATTGCGAATACCCCGGATGTCGTTCTGGGATGTCACATTCTCGGTCTTGATCAAGGGCGAAGATAAGACCAGCCTCGATGTACAAAGATTCGAGCAACTTTGGGAAACGATGTTCACACTGCTTCCCCTGTGCGAGTTTGATTCATCTGGCATACTCGTCTCCGAATCCCGGCACAGTGTCGCTATGGACGGCTGGGCTTTGCCTCAGCTTGCCCTGAAGCGAGTCTTCCAGTTGTATAAAGCAAACAATCGACAACCGCCTGGGTTTAACGATTACTGTAGAACCATCGTACGTCGATGCATATACTTGGTCGAACACTGGGGATGGTACAAATGCGGCGGCGTCATTGGCACCGTCTTCGATTTCTTCGGTTCACAAAATCTATCAAACCTGCGAAACGAAGAAGTCTTCCAGTCACCCGCTTTTCTCGAGCGTTTGCACGTCGAAACGGCCTTACGAGTCGAGCCAGAAGACCGATGCTTTCATATCTTCCTAAAGCTAGTCGCTCTAACCATTCAACGCCTGGTACAGACTGGATCCGACAGAGAGATTCGCAACCTCGTCGCGCGGACTCTACCGAATCACGACCGCCAGTACCTCAAGGAGCAGAATGTTCACCAGCATGATCTTGCTGCTCTTCGCAACCATCATGACCTTCTCTGTACCCTCTTTTGGGCGACACCTGCTGAGTTGCGCCCCAGCACACTTCTTGCTCTTTTGGAGAAGCTTGTTGTCCCTTCAAGTTCTCACAAGGAAGCTTGCCTCATAAACCTCAAGGCCTGGGCCCAACTGGCAAGGTTTGTGGTTCACAAGGAATCAGTGGCAGCGTTCAGGCCATTTCATCTCTGGCAGGGAAGCGCTTTTCAACAACTTCTGGACCAGTACGACTCGACAGCTTCGGACATACAGCAACAGTTGTCGTCCATGTCCAAAGATGGTAGTCACGGCATCGACCAGAATTTCATCAACGGCATCATAGCCAGTAACAAGTCTGCCACCATGGAAGTCATTCGGTATTCCGTGACGATCTCGCTCGATGTTGCGAAGTACGCAAGAAGCTTGGAGCTCTCTATTTTTGCTGGGAATATTGGTAAGTCATCAAGCCTAAAAAACTGACCTCCTGCTCATGGACCCAGTTCAACTTCGGCACGTTTTCCGTCAATTTTCCAAGTCGCCAGCGGAATATCCACTGAGTTTACTCAAGGATGCTGTCGCGACTGTCGATGTTTTCTTGGTTCATGTCGAGAGGGCCCTTGGCCGTGCTCAAACAGAGAACAATGCGGCGGGGCTTGAAGACGGCATCATGGTATGTTCTCGTGCGAATGAGCGTCATATCGCCTTGATCTGACATTCCGATAGAAGATAGACAATGATCTCACTGCGGACTTCTACGCAATGGCCAGAGGCATGTTGCAGACTAGCTCGACAGGCGATCACTCCCCACAGACGATTTCCAAAACGGAGGAAGCAAGGGAGCAGGTTGTGACGGTAGCTGGCCGATTGGCTGCAATTTTGATCCGATGTGGCACTATTGTGAGCCTTTGTCCATTCAGTCTTGTTCAACTGGCTAACCACTACATGCAGCGTCTATCACGATGTTTCAAGACCAATCAACGCAGCAAGGCAGGGAAACATGAGCTCTTCGAAGGGCTGCCAAGTCAGCTTGGCCCGCTGCAGAGTCGCTATCTCCCCCTTTTCCTCGCCAACCTACACAAGGAATTAGATCTGACGGTAAGTGAGGATCGTAAATTGCCTGAACTGAGCTAATGCATGAGTAGGACGTTGGCGTATCAGTTCTGCAGTTGTGGCTGCTCTCTCTCACCAAACCCAGAGATGATATGCTCTTCGAGCATCAATTTGCGTTGAGCCTGAAGAAGCTGAAGTATCCTTTCTTGCCCGCAGAGAGCGATATGTTGAGACATGCAAATTACGACATGAATTGCGACATGTTAAGAAGTATGTACAGGTTGTGTATAATGTGAAACAACTTGACCTCTTGCTGATACTTCATGATAGAGACACTGATGTGGATGAGAACGTCCCTACGGATATCATCGACACCTTCACAGAAGAAGTCCAACACATCCGACTATTCTGCTGCACTCAAGGCAGTCATGCAACGGATCCAGAACGATTTGCATGAAATTTCTGTGACAAACGATGCACAACACACAAGATACGTTCAGTTTGTACGCCGCGTTGTGTCCTTGGTCAAGTCCCACACAACGGAAATCTTTCAAATTCCGCCCTTCTTCTACCAAGTCAGCAAAGAATACTCGCCGCCCGTGCAGGACCCACACCTTCAAGTAGACAGCATCAAATCGTACGGCCTCCGACTGAACGAGGGCGATTCCCCGGCGATGCCACAGTTATTCTACTACATGTACAACAACTTCAAACAGGCTCTCTTGCATGGCAGACTCGGGCACGAGACGCGCATTCTCGCCAAGGGCATGAAGGACGATGCCATTCTGGGATTCATACTCGGCAAGATGCTGCCGGTGGTCCTCTCAGCTTCGGTTATGAAGCCCGAGGCTTTCGTCCTATTCGACACGTATTGCGAGGCCATCAGGCTGCGATTGGATGCCGTGGCTGCTCGACAGATGGATCAATCCCGCGCGCAGCTTCCCACGCTGTTTCGGGCCATGATGCGATGGATTCGCGGGGTCCGGTGTTTGAATGATGGCATCCTCTGCGTAGAGCACTTGCACCTCTTTCGAAAGATGGTCGTATTACTGGCCATGCTCCAACCCACCTTGACGGCGGCATCATACGACACTTCAGCACCTGCTGCTGCCTGGTCGGCCATGCAGCAAGCGCTAAGCTGCTGGTCAGAAGCCACGAAGAACGCGGAGTCCCGCCTCGCATCCAGTCTCGCCGATCCGTACGAGGATGACGTGTCCGCCGGCCTATTTCAGGACGTTATCATGGAAGACGGGTTTGTCGGCGAGGACGAAACTTTGGTGGCCAGCCTGGCGAGGGGCACCATTACGGACTTTGAGAGAAACTGGCTGGTGACGGCCGAGCTGATCGTTGCTCAGGCACCCGCGCGAGCCACGCAGGCGGGGCAGGGGCTGGCGAGGCCGCACTGGGACATGAAAGAGCTGGGACAGAGTCTTCTGCGTGAGTTGCAGAGGTGGAACGCGTGGTGGGCCAGGTGCAGGGCGCACATGCAGGACGAGCTCGTCAGTGAGGCAGAGGAGATGATGTTATTGTAGGCCAGTCGGGCTAGTGGTATCCCTCTTGAACGCTTGTCGTGGGAATAAATGTGAAAAAGGCTACGTCGACAGTTGTTTCATGCACATCAACATCAGGCACCGCTCTGCCCCGTCTCCCTGTACTGCTCAAATGTCGTCTCCGGCTGGGGGGTCTCGTGTGTCTCGTCCTCCTCCCGCATGACCCGCTCCAGCTCGATCCGTCCGTCCTTGCCCCAGTAGCTGGCCTTTTCGGTGCCCTTGACGCAGCCCTCGGTGATGAGCACGTACGGCACGGGTGCCTCAAAGATGGGCTCAGCGAGCACGCGCTCCATCTCCATCTTGAGACCGCGGGCTCCCGTCTCGGCCTTCGCAGCCTCGGCCGCAATGGCATAAAGCGCCTTGCGCGTAAAGTGCAGACGGGAGGGGTACGTCTCGAAGAGGGCGGTGTACTGGGCGACGAGGCTATGACGCGTCTCGGTCAGGATTCGGAACAGGTCGTCGAGGGTCAGGGGGTTCAGGGCGCATATGTTGGAGACGCGGCCTATGAGCTCGGGGATGAACCCAAAGGCCTGCAGGTCTGCTGGTGTGGTGAGGTCTAGCGGGGTATGTGTTGAGGCCGGCGCGTCGGGGTTGGTGTGGGGCAAGTGGTCGAAGAGATGCTTAGGCAGGTCATGCTTGTCACCGGATAGGTTCTGGCGGCCTCGCAGGTCGGAGCCGAACCCCATGGAGGGCTTGGAGACGCGGCGTTCGACAATGGACCGCAGGCCGACAAACGCGCCACACATGATGAACAAGATATTGGACGTGTCGATGGTGTACTGGTCGACCTTGCCCTGGGGCGGCGAGGACTGAGAGGACGATGGAGAGCTGCCGCCCGAGTTGTAGTTTGTGGTCATGGGCGGGGTCGAGCGAGACGACCTGTTTTCCTTGACGTTCAGAGTCACACGGGAGCCCTCGACGAGCTTCAGCAACGCTTGTTGCACGCCCTCGCCGCTGACATCCCTACCGTGCGCGGGCGTCTTGGAGGCGAGCTTGTCAAATTCGTCCAACACAACGATGCCGTTCTCGGCTGCTTTGATGTCGTAGTTGGCCTCTACCAGGAGCCTCTCGATACACGTCTCAACATCCTGGCCAATATAGCCAGCCTGGGTAAAGGCGTTACAGTCGGCTATCGTAAAGGGTACATTGAGCTTCTTGCTCAGCGTTCTACTTGCGTGTTAACGAGGGGTTCACAGAAGGAGAGAGTCATGCTTTCCGGGGGAGAACAGCGTACTCTAGAATGTACGTCTTCCCTGTGCCCGTGTTGCCCATGACAAGGAGGTTGGACTTGTCAATCTTGACATTGAGCGGTCCCGTGGGCTCTTCGGCAATGTTCAGGTCGTCAGCGGACGCACGGGGGTCGGGTTGATCACTGAGATGCTCGACGGATTCAAAGTGGCCGGGATAGTCATCTTGGGCACGGCTGTCAGCCAGGCGGCGTGGAAAGCCAAAGCCATCATCCTCAGCTTGGTGCTGACCTGAGGCAGGGTGAATATCACGTAGTCTCTCGTGCGCGTCTCGGTCGCGTGCATAACGCTGCCTCTGGAGCTTCTCCCGTTGTTTGCGGTCCTCCTCGTCACGTTGGCGCCGGCGCCGGAGGCTCTGGTAGTGATTGAATACGGTGGAACATATGATCTTCTTGGCCCGGTGCTGGCCGACGACGTACTCGTCCACTCGCTTCTTCAGGTCCCTCGGGTAGAAGCTGGGAACGGCAAAGTTGGTCTTGTTGAACATGGGCCCACGGCCCTCATCACTGGGATCATAGCTACTCGTGAAGCCAGAGGAGAAGTCCTGGGTTCGGCGGGAGGAGGAGGAGGGCCGCGGCACCGTCAGGGAGATGGAACGGCGGTAGGTGACGGGGAGGGCGCGGCTCGTGCATCGGGTGCAGGTGAGGGTTGTCGGTCGCCTCACGAGGAGAGGCATGACATCAGGGCGCAGGGAGGCTCGGCTGGTCGCCATGATGGTAAGAGGCGTTGTTGCAGGTCGGAAGGTAAACTAGACCCCATGGGACGTGTAACGTGGAGGGGTGTGGTTCGGAAGACCGATTCGAGGGTTCGTCGTCGCATGGACGTCGGTGGTACGAGTCACGAAGCTCCGGCGCTGCCTGGGGAAGGGGGGGGGTTGACCGTATGGCCGATGTGGGGGAGCTCTTGAGAGCTTCCCATCTGGCAGAGGAGGCACCTTAAGGTAAGGTCCCTAGGTGGGTTAGGGTGGCAGGGGGCCACTTGGGACCACTTGGGGCCGGTTCCGGCGAGAGACTCAGAGGGGGGGTTCCTGTGTCTGTGTACCTCCGTAGGTGCCAATTCACCATGGTGTAGTGGTCGGTGCTTCTCCCCAGCAGGCTGGGTACACTGAAAGCTGTCTAGTGATTCGCGAATGAATACTACCTTACTGTTACGAAGGCAAAACACCTATGTTCCATTTGTACCGTATCGACCTACCTACCTAGGTATCTAGTCAAGTTCGCCTGGCTCATTGGTCAAGCCTCGCGAGGTCAACTACCTTTTCGGAGTGCACGCTGGGCCCTGCGACAATTATAGGCTCATGATGGATGATCGCTAAAACCCATTCGATGAACAGAGGGAAATGGCGGACAGGGCCCCAGCTGGCAGCTGGGCGTGACACAGGGTGTGATGCAGGGACAGGGGCCGGCAAGAATTCTCGTGGAATTGATCGGGGCGTCGCTCCCTTGCTCGTCCCCTCTTCTTGTCGCCTCTCGACGTCATGGCTACGAGCTATTATCAGACGCTCACGGCCACGCCGCCTGACGGGCAGGTGCAGGTGCATATGCAGCTGCACCACCCTCCCCTCACATCGTGGTGCCACCACAGGCCGGCCCAACATCCGCTCAGTTGAGTCTCTTCTTCGACGTCAGGCCCTACTATTCGTTCCGTAGCACGAGGGGGGCAAAGAGAAGGAGAGGAGACGAGAGACCTCTCCTTCATTGCACTTTCCCCCCCCCTTACCTTATCAGATAATTGACAGCCTGCGCGCTCGTTCCAATCTGTCTCGCAATCTTACATCCACATCCAGGCCCAGAACACGGAGACATTGCCCCTCCAACGCCACTTCAAGCTTGAGCCTGTCCCTATCCTGCCCGCTTCGCTTCAGTACCGTTCCCGCTACTGCTGCTTCCACTCCCACTGCCACTACTACTTTCCCTTGCCTACGCCTACCTACGTGCATGCCCGAGCTCAAGCTCTTGGTGGGCTCAACAATCGCCAGCTGAGGAGCTGCACACGTTCGCATCTATCCTCAAACGCTCAATAAGAAAGGTCCCTCATCGACTCCACTGTCCGATCTGCTTGCACTGGTTGGCTGCTAACTTTCGGAAACACCCCCTTCCCTCCACGACGACCATGGCTGCTGTTGTCGAGCAGTCCGCCAACTCTCTGGCCCCGCAAGCCGCAGCTGCTGGTGCTGCTACTGGCAACCGCACTGACGGCACAGGCGTCATCCAGCTCGACCCCTGGCTCGAGCCGTTCGAGGACGCTTTCAAGAGGCGATATGCCAAAGCGCAAGACTGGCTCACCAAGCTGGACAAGACCGAGGGCGGCGTCGACAAATTTTCCAAGGGCACCGATACCTTTGGTTTCAATGTCGATTCCCATGGCACCATCACATACAGGGAGTGGGCCCCCAATGCCACTCACGCCTTTCTCACCGGCGACTTCAACAACTGGGACCGCGAGTCTCATCCCATGAAGAGGGACGAATTCGGCGTTTTCGAAATTGTGCTTCCTGCCAACAATGGCCAGCCTGCCATTCCCCACAACTCCAAGATCAAGGTTCGCACGGGTTCATATCAAACAAACCTCGTTCGACAGGCTGACACGGATCCAGATCTCTCTGCAAACGCCCAGCGGCGACCGTATCGACCGCCTGCCAGCGTGGATCAAGTATGTCACCCAGGACCTGTCCGTCTCGCCGGCATACGATGCCCGCTTCTGGAACCCCCCCGCTTCGGAGAGGTATCAGTTCAAGAACCCCAGGCCGAGCAAGCCTGCGAGCGCTCGCATCTACGAGGCCCACGTCGGTATCTCCTCGCCAGAACTGCGTGTCGCTACGTACAAGGAGTTCACCAAGAACATGCTGCCAAGGATCCGCGATCTTGGCTATAACGTCATCCAGCTCATGGCCATTATGGAGCACGCCTACTATGCCAGCTTTGGCTACCAGATCAACAGCTTCTTCGCCGCCAGCAGCCGGTACGGACCCCCCGAAGACCTCAAGGAGCTCGTGGACACTGCTCACGGCATGGGCATCACTGTGCTCCTCGATATTGTCCACAGCCACGCCTCCAAGAACGTGCTTGATGGACTGAACGAGTTCGATGGCACCGATCACCAGTACTTCCACGAGGGTGCTCGCGGCCGTCATGAGCTGTGGGACAGCAGGCTGTTCAACTATGGTCACCATGAGGTCATGCGATTCCTCCTTAGCAACCTCCGCTTCTGGATGGACGAGTACCACTTTGATGGTTTCCGCTTCGATGGCGTGACAAGCATGCTTTACCACCACCACGGCATCGGAACGTCAGTCTTCGCCCCATCTCCCATTGTTCAATGCATCAACTGACGGTCAGCAGTGGCTTCTCTGGTGGCTATCACGAGTACTTTGGCGCCGATGTTGACGAGGAAGCAGTTGTCTACCTCATGGTGGCCAACCAGATGCTTCACGACCTGTATCCAGAGAGCATCACCATTGCCGAGGATGTGTCCGGCATGCCAGCTCTTTGTGTGCCGCTGTCGCTTGGTGGCCTTGGCTTCGACTACCGCCTGGCTATGGCCATCCCGGACATGTGGATCAAGATCCTGAAGGAGCAGCAGGATGAAGAATGGGACATTGGTAACATCTGCTTCACTCTGACCAACAGACGGCATGGCGAGAAGACCATTGCGTACGCCGAGAGCCACGATCAAGCGTAAGCTACCTTTGTCTCCGAGTTGTTGATTTGTTTTTGCTGACAAGATGTAGCCTCGTCGGAGACAAATCTCTTATGATGCATCTGTGTGACGCCGAGATGTACACCAACATGTCGAACCTGACTCCGTTCACCTCCGTCATTGACCGTGGCATGGCCCTGCACAAGATGATCCGTCTTTTGACACATTCCCTTGGCGGCGAAGGATATCTCAACTTTGAAGGCAACGAGTTTGGCCATCCAGAGTGGCTCGACTTCCCTCGTGAGGGCAACCAGAACTCGTTCTGGTACGCGAGGCGGCAGTTCAACCTGACAGAAGATCATAACTTGCGGTACCAGTACCTCAACAACTTTGATCGCGCTATGAACACAACCGAGGCACAGTTTGGATGGCTGCGCAGCCCCCAGGCCTACATCTCTCTGAAGAACGAGTCTGACAAGATCATCGTCTTTGAGCGAGTAGGTTGCGTCTTCATTTTCAACTTCCACCCCAACAAGAGTTTCGGCGACTACCGAGTTGCAATCGAAACGCCTGGCACGTACAAGATTGTTCTCATTTCGGACTCCAAGGATCTTGGGAGGCCACGGCCGTATCGAGGAGGGCACCCGATTTTTCACCACTCCCATGGAGTGGAATTGGACGGAAGAACTGGACGCACATTTACATTCCTTGCAGGACCGCTCTGGTAAGCATAGCCCCTCTGGTCTGATTCACCTGCACAGCATTGGTACTAACCGTTTTGACAATAGATTTTGGCGCTGGAATCCCCCGTCTCTCAACATTCGTAACGAGTGGTTGAGATGCATGAGCACTGGTGAACGAAGGAACCAAAAGATCCATCATGATTGCATCAAAGGGCTGTCGCAAATTGTCCCCAGCCATAATTAATATGAGAGCAAGTTGCCGTTGACCCTCGTTGTATTCGCTCGTCTTGTGCTGTGCTGTCTCCGTAAATCGTGAACTTGATAGTGCAAAGATTTTCGTCACATGATCACGCTGCCCGGACATCTGATGGCAGACAAAAGAAAAAAAGATGCTTTAAGTTGAGCTCTTCCGGTACACTATTTACACCCGCGCGCGCGTCCTGTCTGTTCCCGATTGACCTAACACCAATAATAACCCTCCATCCTCTCTTGTTGCTCTCAGGGGTCGTTTTATACAAGGGGGGCGAAACGGCCGGTATTGATCTAATGACGTTGGGAGGGAGAAAGCCCAGTTTAGTGCTTGGGAGGCGACTGAACCTGTCCGACGCCGGCGTAGCCCTCGGAGGCGATACCGGTGAGAGGATCGGCTTTTTGGTTCTGTGCGATGCAGTCGATGCGTCAGTCCATATCCCCCAAAGTAATAGCAGACCCAGCGGCGTGTGGCGACGTACCTTGAGCACCTCGTTGGAAGCCTCCTGCCACTCCTTGGTCATGGTAGGGGGAGGGGGCTTGGCGAACAGGCGGATGACGCCGAAGATGGCGAGACTGGCACCGACGGCAGCGAGGGTGCCGAAGAAGACGCGGGAACCCTCGCCAGCAGGGTCGGCGGCACGGGGGCCGTGGGGACCAAAGGCAATCCAGTAGGCTGTAGAGGCAATTGGCGTTAGTTCTTCATTCTCAGAATACGTCGGGCCTGCCTGCCGTGCAGTCCGGTCGGACTGGATTGATTCAAGCAAGGTTGGCTGGCGGGCCGCGGGAACACCCGACGTCATGGTGGACGGGCCGAGTTGCATCCATTGAGCGCGTCAATCGCAATCCTCGACCCCGAAGATGCATGGTAGAGCTTCACCGCGACGATTGCCAGCCATTGCCGAGCTTCGAATCAGTTCCGCTTCCCTTTCGTCCTCTCGAGGCCATGTCACGTTAGGGGGGGGATCGGGGCTTCCGAGGAAAACGCACCAGCCTTCTTCTCCTGGAGGGTCAGCTCCTGCCAGGGACCCTTCATGCGATCCCTCAGGGCCATCCACAGCTCGGCCTGCTCCTGGAGAGGCATCGTCTCCCACCTCTTCTCAATGTTGGCGAGGGTCGGGTTGGAGATGGCGTGGGTGGTGGCGGCGCGGCGGATGACCATAGCCTGCTGGTACCGGGGCGCGGCGCGCAGCAGCGACGAAACCTGGGTTCGCATCATCTTGATCGGGGCTGAGGTGAAAGAAATCGAATGTCCGGTCTCGGGTATCTCTACAGAGGAGGTCGCTTCGGTCGACGAGGTTTGCGAAGGTGGTGGGATGCCGCAATTGCTGGATGGGCCGGGACGGAATTGGCGTTGGGTGGTCAGGGAGAGAGGAGAGGGTTTTTTGGGGTGTCGTATGATGGAACCTCGATCCGTCCAATGGCCCCGTTGTAATCGAACAGCTGCCACTGGCCCGAAAATTGTTCGGCAACGTAGTGACTAATACCGAGTCACGTGCTTTACTTCGATGCGAGCACTTGAGATCTCCTCCGACAGCTGCTCTTCCACAGCTCAAGCCCATCGATAGTGGAAGAACGAAACGTTGCCGTGCAGACAACTTTTCTATGACATTGAATACAACACGCGATTTTCCAATTGGTTCACGGGGTCGGTTTCTTGCGGAGTATATGGTGTTATATGGTCCCGGTATTACATTTTCTCTCGCACACTGACACCGGTCCACTGCAGGGGCTTGTGCAAGTATCGGAAACTGCAGACATAAACACAATTGTAGGCTGCACGGCGGGAAACTGGACGCCTGCAATGGATCAAGCAGTCGCTTACCTGCTCCCGAGCTGCATGCAGCCTAAGTAGATCAGCGTAGCTTGCTGTATGCTCTTTGGGAAGAACAGCTGCTTTGGCTGTCTCACAGGAGCTTCGCCGTCAAGTCTGGCTTTCGGCGGACCATCTCGGATTTATCAAGCAAATGCGGCGAGAAGCTGCTCGGCGATTGTATAGACCACGAGTGATCCTTCTGTGCCCTTCAGGTAGACGTCCCAACATGATGTCTATGATACACGGCGGTCGAGAGGCGACCCCAGGTAGGCGATCACCTAGCTCTCGCAAAATTATACAGATCACACCAAACAATACAACGTCGCCAACCGTATTATGATGCTTTAGTCGATGTCGGGGCCGGCAGAGAAGTATCGGTCTTTGTCTTATTGGATTGATCTTCGTTGACTGAATCTGGAAGTGAGGCGTCCCTAGTCTTGATCTCAAGTTGGCGGTGATGCGCTTGTTCCGCAAAGGCTGGGCCAAGAGTGTATGTGCCCATGGGGCGATCAGCATCATGTATTCACGTGGATGAGCATGGTATATAAACATACTAATGAGGACGCCAGACCCTACGGCGATACCAAGGGCCAGGAAGTTCCGTAGACTCATCTTTCCGGTGCGTGGAACGATATGGTCAAGCAACGAAATTCTGCAGCACGGAGCAATGCCCGTGATGATAATTGCAGCAATTTGACAAGAGATCGATGGGCGGGCTCTGGACAAATCATGACGCTGTCCAGGCCATGGCTCGTTCGCAACTGTGGAACATCGTGAACTGCCTTAGGCTGTCAGGCGACAGAATGGGTGTAGCCTGAGGATTAGCTAATATCGTTTTGAGGTTGCTGGGTGGCTTGTTGGCCTCCCCAGGCGGTTGCCATTGGATATGAAAGGGGGCCCCGCGGAAAAACCCGGTAGGAGAGTAGACCTCAATCCGGTGTAGCTCGCGCCAAGCTCCTGCCGCATAATTTTCCTGGACCCGGGAAGGACAGACTCACGTGACTCCCCAGGCAAAGCTCTACCCGACGAAGCCTGGATCCCGAGCAAAACTGCTCACTTCTCCCCAAGTCCTCCTGGAAGTTCAACCATCACCTCTCCACTCCCATCCGAAATCGCTCTCCGTCATCTGGCAAGATGTTCAAGAGGTGAGTTTCGACGTCGGAAGCCACTTTGCGAGCTTTCGCGCGCTCAATTGGGGCCAATTGAACTGACGTTGTCGTCGCAGCGGCATTTCTTCCTTCGCCCGAGCGGCTCGCCCTTCTTTCGCGGCGACCGCCTCTCCCCGGGTCATCAGGCCCTCGACCCTCAGATTCCCTGTCGCTTCCCGATTCGCGAGCACTTCGAGCGTCGGTGATGGCAAGATCTACCAGGTGAGTTGATTCGGATGATGCGGTTGCCGCTGGTCCGACCAGCCGAGCCGGCGGCTGCAGGATTGAGGAGAAGCTCGGTTACTGACAACAACAACTCTGCAGGTCATCGGTGCCGTTGTCGATGGTACGTAACCACCACGAAGGACGAAGAAAAACTTTTTCCATCTCGTCGCATCGTCATTTTGCCGTCCGCGATGTGTTTACTCACACTTTTTGCAGTCAAGTTCGATGGCGCCCGTCTTCCTCCCATTCTGAACGCTCTTGAGACCACCAACAACGGCAACAAGCTTGTCCTTGAGGTCGCGGTAGGTTGCCACTCCAACCCAAAAAGGGCCCACGATGCCTATTTGCAATGCGTTGTAGCTCATAACTTTGATTAGCAACATCTTGGCCAGAATGTCGTCCGCTGCATTGCCATGGACGGTAAGTACTGCTTGCCATGCACAATTTTTAGGCCTCATTTAACGTATTTGACCAGGTACCGAGGGTCTTGTCCGTGGCCACCCGGCCTCCGACACTGGTGCCCCCATCACCATTCCCGTCGGTCCCGAGACCCTGGGTCGCATCATGAACGTCACTGGTGACCCTATTGATGAGCGCGGTCCCATCAAGACCAAGAAGACGCTGCCCATTCACGCCGAGCCCCCTGCGTTCACCGACCAGTCCACCACTGCCGAGATTCTCGTCACTGGTATCAAGGTCGTCGATCTCCTTGCCCCCTACGCCCGTGGTGGTAAGATTGGTCTGTTCGGTGGTGCCGGTGTCGGCAAGACCGTCTTCATCCAGGAGCTCATCAACAACATCGCCAAGGCTCACGGTGGTTACTCCGTCTTCACTGGTGTCGGTGAGCGTACCCGTGAGGGTAACGATCTGTACCACGAGATGCAGGAGACCTCCGTCATTCAGCTTGATGGCGAGTCCAAGGTCGCCCTCGTCTTCGGTCAGATGACGAGCCCCCCGGAGCCCGTGCCCGTGTCGCTCTTACTGGTTTGACTATTGCCGAATACTTCCGTGACGAGGAGGGCCAGGACGGTACGTTTATATGAAATTTGCCTCTTTATCTTTTGCAGAAGCGCCTGAACTAATCCGTCGCAGTGCTTCTCTTCATCGACAACATTTTCCGTTTCACCCAGGCCGGTTCCGAGGTGTCTGCCCTGCTGGGTCGTATCCCCTCTGCCGTCGGTTACCAGCCCACCCTTGCCATTGACATGGGTGGCATGCAGGAGCGTATTACCACGACCCAGAAGGGTTCCATTACCTCCGTCCAGGCTGTCTACGTCCCTGCTGACGATTTGACTGATCCTGCTCCCGCCACCACCTTCGCCCATCTTGACGCCACCACTGTCCTGTCCCGTGGTATCTCCGAGCTGGGTATCTACCCCGCCGTCGACCCCCTCGACTCCAAGTCGCGTATGCTTGACCCCCGTATCGTCGGTCAGGAGCACTACGACACCGCCTCCGCTGTCCAGCAGATTCTCCAGGAGTACAAGTCGCTCCAGGACATCATCGCCATTCTGGGTATGGACGAGTTGTCTGAGGCTGACAAGCTCACCGTCGAGCGTGCCCGTAAGATCCAGCGTTTCCTGTCGCAGCCTTTCACGGTCGCCCAGGTCTTCACTGGTATCGAGGGTCAGCTCGTTGACCTGAAGGAGACCATCGCCTCCTTCAAGGCCATCCTCAACGGTGAGGGTGATGCCCTTCCCGAGTCCGCCTTCTACATGGTCGGTGACCGACTCCGCCAGGGCGAAAGGGTGAGAAGATCCTTGCGGGATCTTGAGAAGGAACTAAAGTGGCCCGGGAAGTCGATACCTACGAAAGCGTTGCGTCGTTCTGATGGGGTCCTGGCCTGTGTATAGAAGAGGATCGTTGGGATGCGAGGTTCTCCCTTAGCTCAATCAAGTCTCTTTTGTGGGCTGTGTACCAAGAAATTCACATAATTCCTCCAACTGTCCCAGGATTCGATGCGTGTGCTGTGAATGGGTGTATCTGGGCTTGCGTTGTGATGTTCAATGAAGATTAAACGTGAGGCATTTTCCGATGTAACATGGCGTTGCGACCTTGTGCTACTACAGTGGAACCAATTTGAGACTTGATCAAGTGTCAGTGTCGACGGGACCTATCGAAGCCTCGGATGCTCAACATAAGCCTGGTGTCAACTCACTTCGGTGGGCATGGGGGTGCGGTGGACTCGGGTTTGCGGCTCGTCATGTTCGTTGAATTCGCGGTGCGTCGGGATGCCTCAGGCAGTGAATGTATCGTGATCGTATAGTCTCACGTTACAAGGGGGGGGAAAGCAGAAAACAAATAAGAGGTTGGAACTGGGGTTTTTTTCCCCCTCCATAGCAGTGGCCTAGAAAGTCCCCCTTATCGTGCGGAAGAAAATGAGGTCATGCTCGTGAAAGTGACTTGGCAATATTCAGGTTCATGTTGCGATGCGCCACATGGTCTATACGTCGAGTTCGCCCCGACATCATCCTCGTCTACGAAATCCACCTACCACCATCCAAGGGAGCAAGCACGCCTTGTTGCGTTATATGGACATTGGGAAAGTAGAATATTCATGAAAACCATCAAATAAACACGGCATGGCCCTTCGTTCAATCGTCTCAAGATGAGTGTATTCCGCTACACCTGGCAAACTACCTCATATCGTCTCACAGACCGGTCATGCAAAAAGAAGAGGGCACGACAGGAACACGACCTAATACGCCAACCCCGCCTTTCCGGCACGTACGCACTGCCCGAATGA